TCTGCCTCCAACTTTAAGTAGAAATGTTCTCTTAATGGCATTTTTTCTTTGAAAATTTACCTTGACAATGCTGTGAAGTGAAACAGATTTCTTCCCCCCCCCCCCCCGCCCCGAATTATTTTTGAAAGGGCAAAGCAGCTTTTAGGGATGAGGGGTGAAACATTTTTCAGTGGTGCATTTTGGCACATCCCATTAAGGTTATTGGTTATTCACAGTACTTATCCAAACCAAACTAAATAATGTTATCTTGAGGTGTTTGCCAGTAAATATTGCACTCAGTATCACTCAAATTTATTCGGAAAGCACAGCAATGCAAGGCAACAGAAAAGCTGTCATAGACCTGAGGTTGCTCAGCATAGTCGCTGTGTCTTAATAGGGAAATACATCTGCATCTTTATAGGGAGGCATCGGCAACCAAATATTGCACCTCAAATTGGCAGTCTTGGTCTTTTTGCAAGCCAGTAAGGCAGGGCACACAAGTGTCATGAACAGGGCTTGTTGCAAAGATGCCTGTTTTATTTGACATTTGTCTTCTTTGTCTCATAACCTGGTTCAGAGTCTTTGTTAAAATCTCTTCCAAATGCTCCAGTTAAATTGCACAGGGTGCAGTCAGGCTGTTTGCTTCTTTCCTGTAGCAGCTCTAATGAAAGTCTAATTATCTTGCCCTTCGCTTATGTCCCAATTACTGCAACATCATCCTTTCCAAAGGATCTGGCATTAGATCCGTTTCCTCCTTTGTCACCTACTAAGGAGCTATTCAGACATCAATTTTGCTAACTGCAGTTGTCACAGAGGGCCACAATATTCCATGAATACTAGAACTAATTACATTTGGACAAATAGTGGAGTGAAAGTCCGAGCAACATGAAAGAAAGCCGATTTGTAACTTCTAAGTACAACTATTCACCTCTGCACTTTTTAACTAGGCAGTAATGATTAAATACCTGAGTAATGTAAAGTCAATGTACAGTGTATCAGAATATACGTTCTATTCTAGTTAAACTGTCTTGGCCTCACTTTTCCTACTGCTTCATCTTCTTCTTGTACATATGATACCACAAAACACAAGCATCTCCTCAGTGTTGCCAGTTTTATTATGAAGCAGCAATAATCTCATTTTGAGAATGTAAAGCAATGGTGTAAACAGAGATTTTGCTGACATCAGTAGCAGACACCGAGAATCATAGAATGGTTTAGCTTGCAAGCGGCCTTAAAGATCATCTAATTCCAACCCTCCAGCCATGGGCAGGGACACCTCACACTAGACCAGACTACTCAAAGCCCTGTCCAACCTGGCCTTGAACACTGACAGGGATAGAGCATCCACAACTTCTCTGGGCAACCTGTGTCAGTGTCTCATCACCCTCACAGTACAGTATTTCTTCCTAATGCCTAAACTAAATCTACCTCTTGTCAGTTAAAGCCATTCCCCCTTGTTCTGTCACTAGAGCCCCTTGTGAGAATTCCCTCTTCAGATTCCCTATAGTGCCTCTGGAAGGCTGTGCTAAGGTCCCCCTGAGCCTTCTCCACGCTGAACAAACCCAGCTCTCTTGGCCTGTCTGCATAGCAGAGGTGCTTCAGTGCCCTGATCGTATCTGTGGCCTCCTCTGGCCTCACTTGAGCAGGTCCTTATACCTTTTGTGCTTGAGGCCCCAGAACTGGATGCAGGTGGAGTCTCTGCAGATAGGGTCAGCGCAGAATAGAGGGGCAGGATCACCTCCCTCGACCTGATGGTCACGCTTCTTTTAATGAAGCCCAGCATACGGTTGGCTTTCTGGGCTGCACCATGTAGAGCTCTTGTCAACCAACACCCCCAAGTCCTTCTCCTCAAGGCTGCTCTCAATCCAGCCTCTGCCCAGCCTATAGTTGTGCCTGGGATTGCCCTGAGAAGCATGCAAAACTTCCAAAATGTCAGATCCAATTTTCACTATCTAATACCTAAAGCAAATCTTGGTATTGGTTTAAGCAGTCACCAATTTCTCCGTTTCTTTTCTTCTTACCTAAGATGCAGTCTCTTTACAAACTCATCTCTTAAACAACATACTGCTTGAATGACAAAGAAATATTGTCCATTTTTAGCAGATAAAACTGTTAATTAAGTCCATAGTACTGACATGAGAGGTCTTTTTATTTGCATTGTACTGGTTTCTGAATGTATTCTGTCAACAGGATTTATTAATCTATTAAATAGAAATATTCAAAGTTCTGGGTTGCTTGTTCAGGATGAAGCTAAATGTGAGAATTCAGAGATTTGTTTCCAACATTCTTATTCACAGGGTGGAGCTGCTAAATGGTAAAGGTAAACATCTCAGTAGCATAAACTCATCAAGAAGAAGGTACAAGTCTCCTTCTGTGCCCACTCTTTCTCCTAACTTCTGACCTCAGAAGGTAAAATGCGAGAGCATTATCATCTGCAGAAAGTGCACAGGGGAAAAAATACAACAGGAAATAAGTGAAATATTACCCTTCTGTAGTAGAGATGCAGAGGCCAAAGGCTCGTCCACAGTCCTTCGCCACCATTTTTGTCAGTGCGCATCAATACTACTCTCCATGTCACCAGCAAATATGTTGAACAGGACTGGTCCCAGCACTGACCCCTTAGGGACATCACTCATTACTGGTCTCCAGTTGGATATTGAGCTACTGACCACAACTGTCTTTGTGTGGCCACGCAGCCAATTCCTTATCCACTGAGCAGCCCATCCATGAAATCTGTGCCCCTCTCTAAACTGGGAGATGCATGGATACACAGGAATTGGCTGGCTCCTGCCAGAGGAGTCACTGGGGTACATGGGCCAGAAGAGAGGCCTACGGAGAGAGGGGAGCAGATGCCCTCCTCCAAAGCCCCCTCTTCCTCCCAGGGCCTCTGAAGCTCCACAGCCAGAGCCCTCCAGCAGGAGCGTGGGGTTTGTGATGACAGGGGAGTGGGCCTGTTATGGGGGGGGGGGGGGGGCGACAAAGTGAAGAAAATGGCTGACATATGCTTTCATTCTCCAGGAAAGCTCCATGGAGTGGGAGAAGGCAGAAATGCTGTCAGGGGCATGGCTGAGGCAGCAGTGAGGGCTCTGACAGTAGGACTGGGGTGAGCCTAAGGGAACCACACTGCTGAGATAGAGGAGTCCTAAGATTTAAAACTGGTTGCTGGTTGGGTAATTAGTTTGCATTGTTAATATAATTAGTGATAATGTTATCAATACTGTAGCCAGTTTCGGTTTAAAGTACAAATTTTATTAACCTGTGTAAGCGATAGCAGATAAAACAGCGCTGGGTGCGCCCACGAGCCCTCCCCTCCGCCCAAGACACGCACACGCGGTCCCTGGGAGGCGGTCCTTTACCTTCTCCGGTTCAAGGCCCCAGCCAATCCTGTCGCCCCTCCTCACCCGGATGTTGACATGACTCTTCCTCATTGGTTCCCTTTGTTGCGGGGGGGGGGGTGTGTGGGGGGTGTGTGTGTGTCTCATTACCGAGAAGTTTCGGGAAGTTTCGAGAAGCGTCCACTGCCAGCCTCCTCACCGTGGCAGCCCCCTCCCCTCAAGCGTTGCAACAAGACACCACTTCGAGCCACCCAGCCCCCTTTTCTCTCTCACAATCCCGCGCAACAATACAACTGACCTCCCCCCCATTACTTAGAGAGTACAAGTTAGAGTCAAAAGGAGTATTGTTTCACATAACGACAGCCACAGAGAGCCTCCCTCCCCCCAAACTTCTTGATGAACAAACCCCACACATTACAATAATATACCCTAATCGCATTGTTAGAGTAACCTAAGGGTTAACAAAGCGCGGGACTTAACACCTATGACAAGTTAGGTACATTTGTAACTTTTGGGCAAGATCAGCCAATCCACGGGGAGGCTGAGCCCGCGCAAAAGAAGAGAACAGTGCAAGCCAGCTTTGTGGGTGGGACACGATCCAAGGAGTAACTGAGCCTGCACAAGACCAAAGCTTTCTGACTGTGACGAAGTGGAGCTGCCAGCCTTCAGCCCCCACGACCCCCTACCGAAAAGCACTGCGCATGCGCAGTGGGAGGAGTTGATGGCAATCCTGATTATCATACGAGGCGGGGACAGGTCATGAATATGCAACCACAATGCCACATGTTTGGAGGACGGGCGGCTGCGGCGCGCACGACTTCGGTGGGATACCCCCGTGCAGGCCAGCGCTTGGCTGATCGGTTGTAAAGTCCTTTCTCCGTACGTCACTGCTACAGGCATGCTCGTGGGCACCTCTCTCTGCCTCGGAGAGCAGTGTCTGCAGCGCTGCCTGCTTTCGGGAACGCCAGGCGGAAGCCCAGCACAACGAGAACTCTGTGTTCCGGGAGCCTAGACACCAGGGTGGTCTGGGAAGTGCAAGCAACATGTTTTGTGGCACCAACAGACTGCCAAGAGGGACCTTAGCCAGGGCTCAGCACAGAAGGGCAGCCCCTTCCACAAAGTGAGCACCTGATAGCAGCAAAAAGGCCTAGACCCTGGTGCGGGGAGTGCCAGGTCTCTGGTGGGATGGGGCGGTGTCTGGGAGAGACAGGGGAGCTGAGCCACCATCATGCCCCTCCTCAGCAGTCAGGCTGCTCAGGCCTCAGATGATACCTCAGAAACCCCTCTTTGGTCCCAGACATGGCTGCTCCCATTGTGGACCCCCACTATGGCCAGTCCCCAGAGCCAAGGTGTCCCCTGAATGGAATGGGCCTGTGCTTTGGGGATCATGGCCCCCAGACAGTGCCAGGCTCTGAAGGCTCCTTCCTAGGGCAAAATGGGAGGCAGTCCTCGTGCCAAAGGATTTTGTCAAAGACCACAGGCAAGGAGAGGCTGTGAAAGCATGTCTCCCTGTGCTTCCAACATGGGGATGTTTCCTTCGGTTAGGAAACATTGCTGTGGTGGAGAGAAAAAGGAAAGGCTGGGGAAAGCCTCAGCCTGCAAAAGGCAGAAAGAAGCTGGCTGCTTTGAGAGGAGCACTGAAGTGACAGTGCTCTGCACCAGACAAACAGTCACATCCCTCTGGTGTGTTCCTCCATTTTCCTCTTTAATTCTTATCGAGGGAAGGTCTCCTCATGAGTCTTTCCAATCACATTTGTCTCCACCATCTTCCCATGCACCTGCACTCGATAAAGGCAGGTGTTTGTTGGTTTACCCCAGTTGTTCTGTATGCCGAGTTTGAGAAGTCGAAAGGCTCTGGGGATGCCATTCTGCAAAGAAACCACAGCAAAAAGCAGTGCCACTCCTGGGATGCAAAGAGGGAGAGCAGGCTCCACGTGTCTTCCTCCGCCAGCCAGGCCCCTGCTCTGGGACCAGCTCCTGCTCTGGCTGACGAAGCAGCTTCTCCCTCCTTGTCTTCTCCCACCCAGGAGGCAAAGGATTCCTGTGCCCTTGCAGAGCAAATAGCCAGCCTCAAGAGAGAATGCGGTGGGCAGCTGTGGGGACCTGAGGGTCACCTGTGCCAGGAAGGAGGACCAGGGGAAAGCCCTGCTGCCGGAGCACGGTGCTGAGCATCCTCCTCACCACCGCCTGCCCTGCAGGTGCCGACAGACAGCTCTGGGCACCACAGGGTTCAGGCCCCTGTCCTGCCAGGGACTGTCCACTCTCCCCCTGCAAGTGACTTGCTCGCAAACTGGCGTTTCTGCCCTGGCCTCCTGCCCACACGCACCCACTGTACCTGCAGAGGGAAGGTCTGAGTTGGCCCTTTCTGCACGCTGTAGAGGAAAGACCCCAGCAGAGTTTCACCATGGCCTGCCTCATCCAGTCCCTTGGAGATAAATGCACAGGAGAGCAGGTCAGGCTCAAGCTGACCATGAGCAAATGCTCATGCCAGATCTGGGCCCGTGATCCGCACCACACTCCTGCGCCTCTGGTGCAGTCTGGCACAGAGGGAGACCCATGGGGCTGTGTCTCCTCCTCAGGGCCTTGGAGGTGCTGTGCCAAAACGCGCTGAGCAAGTTTGTGAAGTGTCCCCTCTAGGAAGGGCAGTGCTTGGGAGCACACACATCTCTGCAGATGCGCAGGGAGCAGCAAGTCCTGGTTACAGCTTTACCCGTGGTCAGGTCCCAGCCCCGAGCCCAGCACAGACTTACAGAGACAGTGAAATCCTTGGGTGCACTACTGACAGTCACCAGTGGAGTGGCTATCTCTGAGCAGCACTGTAAGGTGATGGCCGTTGGTTGTATTTCTGTGGGCAGTCGGATTAGCACTTCGCTCTGAGTCTGTTGCATAGGCCAGCAGTACCCTGGGGAAGCATCAGGCTAAAAGCAGAGGGCAAGAGAAGTGAATGCGAGGGCTTTGCTCCCCTGCTTGCAGAAGCACAGGCAGCACTGTGCCTTGGGTGTGCTTCTGCTGGAGATTCATGGTGTGTTGGGAAGCAGGCAGAAGCACCCGCTTTTTCTAGGGAGCCAAGCTCCGTGTGGGACCTCAGCCGTCAGGCACCAGATCCTTGCCGTGGATCCGAGCGAGACCGCTGGCCTGACAGGAAATGACCCAGGGCTTGGCTCCAACTTGATCCAGAGAGGCAAGAGAAGCAGCACTGACGGTTTCTGCTACTGTACCTGCACAAAGGTATCCTCAAAGGTTTGGCTAAACAGGGACCAAAACACCCTTCTGAGCCATGCAGAGGTGCTGGATGATCTCTGCAGGTCGATGGCAGTCCCTGAGGGCAGAAGAGAGCAGCTGACTGCAACTGGCCCCAGGTGCAGAGGACCTGGTGGCTGCAGGTGACTGCTAAGTCATGCAGCACTGGATGCTTGGAGGTGCCTGGGGAAACACAGGGGATCCCTAGGCCTGGTGATGGCATCTCTCTCCCAGCCGCACAAAGAGAAGATCTTTGGCTGCTGGGGGACAGTGAGCCCCCACGGCAAGGGCAGCAGACCCAATCAAGGCCCTGCTGTGTGGACAGCAGAGGGTGATGCAGCCATATGCTTTCATTCTCCAGGAAAGCTCCGCAGAGTGGGAGAGGGCAGAAATGCTGTCAGGGGCATGGCCGAGGCAGCAGTGAGGGCTCTGGCAGCAGGGCTGGGGTGAGCCTAAGGGAGCCACACTGCTACAGTCATGCTCGTGGGCCCCGTGGTTTTGTCCCACCTCTCTCTACCTCGGAGAGCAGTGTCTGCAGCACTGCCTGCTTTCAGGAACGCCAAGCATGAGCCTAGCACAACATGAACTGCCTGGACCCAAGGGCTGCCCATACCTGTGCTTTTGAGAGCCCAGTCAGGCACCTCCACGGGCTCAGATACTGCCACTCTCATTTGCTGAACTTCCTGGGGAAGACACCAAGGAACAGGGAAACAACCATGTCAGAGTGGGCCAGGAGAAGGGGCTTTACAGCGCAGCTCAACCCGCAGCCCCTGGCAAGGGAGGAGTGTGTAGGCTGGGACGAGCAGGGCCCCCTCCACCAGGCCCTTCCTGGGCCAGCTGGTGGCCTTTTGCTGCCCAGCCCTCTTTCCAGAGTGCAGGATCACCTTGTTTATAGAGCGGATTTCTGCAGCCAGACGTGTCACCTCATCCCTCAGCCGCTGCATCTCTTCAGCTTGTCCTTTCCACAAATCAGGTGCGTTCCTGCAGTCATCAGAAAATCGGACCTTGTCAGATCTCTGCCCAGCAATGCGCGGAGCCTCCAAGGCCAGGAGCAGCACAAACAGTGATGCTCCAGCCCCTTTTCTTTCCCTGGTTTACAAGCGCTTCCTTCCCCCTCCAGGTTTAGCACAAGGCCCGGACAGGAGCAGAAGACACGAGCTCTGGGCGCTGTGCAAGTGAGAGCAAATAGCACGGGCTCATCTGCTCGTGCTGTCGCCACCAAACATGCTGCAGGGCTGGGGAGAGGAGAGGGCTCTTACCCCAGTGAACTCAGGTCAGCTGCAGGCTGCTCCTGGAAGGGAAAGGATATCGGTGGAGTCCCGCAGCAGCCGGGGCTTCCCCGAGCTGGCAGCTCTAGGAAGGCACAGTAGAAGCTGCTGCTGCTGCTTTGCGTCACTGCCTGGCACCGGAGGACCAGGCGATTCACCCACCCACCCATCGCCTGCAGTGCTCCCTGGCAGGACTTTCCTGTCCCACTGACCTGTGGTGCATTCTTTCCATGCAGCCGCCAAAAGAGCAGCGAGGTCCCGCACCAGGCACCAGCTGTAACATCACCATGAGAGTCATTTTACTGCCCTTTCTAAAGATCCCTGTGGTGACATGGTCTCCTCCCACACCAGGGTGGCAAGGGGTTAGCCGAGGACACCACAAAGGGGTGCAGGGGAGGAGGTAGCTCCAAGGAGAGACTCTTGGACCGCCCTGGGCCAAGGGGCACTGCACAGCCCTGGTTCCAGGCTTTTCACCCCACTGCTATGCCCCATTTCATCTGCATGCAGCAAGCATCTTGTGACCTCTCACATCCACAAAGGTGAGATGCTGTAGGGGCCACACAGGCCCTCAGCGCCTCTCCCTCATGCTGAAGCTCACACCTCACTCCTCTGAGCTGGCAGTGGGTAAATACTAACCGAGAGCAGTGAGGCTCATCAAGCAGAAGATCATGAAGAGCCCCTTGTTCCTGAAACAGAGAGAGTCCTGGGGTTAGCAGTGCTCAAGGCAGAGCCCTGCCCAGAGGAATTTCTCTTACCAGCTGAACAACAATTTGCAGGAGAGCCAGGGGTTCTGCTGGTGGGGAGCACCACCAGCTTCCCATCTGATCACCCTGACCCTCTGGCACCCTCAAGCTCCATGTCAGTAACAGACACCTGTTGTACTCACAGGATGGAGATGCCTCTTCTGAGGTATCTCTGAAAGTAGATCACGGCCATTGCCATTCTGTATGCACAGCTGAATACCAGCCCTGGGAAAGGAAATGGGAGAAAAGCCTGAGGAGCCTTCTTGAGGAGCCCCATCTGGTGTATGGCCGACCCCTGCGAGGACGTGGATGCTGGGCCTGCATACTTCCTTCCTGTGGGACCCGGACAGGGGCACGCTTATGCCCTGGAGGGGGTTGCTTGTTTCTCGCCGGAGGCCCGGCAGGATCCCCTTGTTGGCAGGGCACTGACAGCAAGGCTGGGGAAGGACTGTGGATGAGGCTTCGGGCCCTGCATCTCTACCACCCGGGAGAGCCCCCTGGTTATTACAGTAGCCCCATGGTTATTAGAGACACGGTGGCCAGCTCCGTCATGGTCACATAGGCCAAATGGCCCCAGGCCGCTCCTGGGGCAGGATGATACTGACTATTCAGTGCTGTTGGTCCCAGATGAGCCAGGCAGGCCTGGTGCAAGCATGGGGTGAAAGGCAGCGCTGAACTTACGCTCTGTGCCTGCAGCACTGCAGCTGCAGCGTGCGGGCTCTTCGCAGCTGGTCCCCTGGTCCTCCTGAGAGGGGGGGCACCTATGGGAGGGGAAAAGGCAGGACACTGTTTGGCACTGCCTTCTTGCCACATGAGCCAAGGCCCTGGCCAGAAGAGAGGCCTACGGAGAGAGGGGAGCAGATGCCCTCCTCCAAAGCCCCCTCTTCCTCCCAGGGCCTCTGAAGCTCCACAGCCAGAGCCCTCCAGCAGGAGCGTGGGGTTTGGCCCCCGGGGCCAGAGGGGCTTTCAGCTGAGCCTCTTCCCCACTCACAGTGGGTTTCCCAAGCCCTGGGACTTGTGCTGCCTACAGTGTTCGCCAGCTTCTCTATCGTGTCCCCCCAGCCCCTGCTTTAGGCTCTGGGGACCTGACCCTCCAGCTGATGGTCCCAGGAGGAACCTTGTACCTGTTTCCGAGAACCTCAATGGGCCCAGCTGCATGTCTGTCCCTGCTGCTGCTGCTGGCTCTCCTCACGAGGGCAGCGCGCTGCGCTCCTGGATGAGCCTTTTGCATCTTGGGGACACAGGAAGCTCGCCTGCAAGCCTGTCCGTCCTCCTTCCGAAGCAGGAGTGTTGCCTGCCTGGGGGAGGGCAGTTGGGCAAGAGTCCCAAACCAGCTGCCAGGAGGAGAACGCCAGACACAGGCACACAGCCACGAGGACACAGCAAACTCCTACCAGGCAGGAGGTGGTGGCCCAAGTGCTGTAGGAGCCACCTTGATGTCACAGGTTCCTGGCTCCACACAAGGTGCAGCCATGACTGTGACATCACAGGTGAGCAAGGGGCAGGGATACACCCCGCTGCCCACTTAGTGCTCTGGGTTACATTTGTGACTATCCAGTGCAGAAAATACACCGGCGTTTCTCTGGTGCTGACCTGTGCCTGCAGAGCTCAAGGCTTGTTCAGTTTCTCTCTGGGTGTCCCCCATTGAGGTCCCCCTGCGCAGGTAGGCAGGAGCTGGAACAGCCAAGCCAAACAGACTCGGCTCCATTCCATGTGAGGTCATGCTTTGAAACGAAGCCTTAGTCTTTGGTTAACCCTGTCAGCTGAAGGTTCCCATGGGGAAGCAAAGGGGTGCTGCCTCCGGGTTACACCAGGCTGGGGCTGGGGCAGCGGCTGCATCGGGCTTTGGCTTGCTCTGTCCCTCTGCCTCCACATTGTCATGGGGAGCTCCGGTCACCAAAGGGGCCCCAGGAATGTGCTAAGGGGCTGCTGCCTGCTTCCATCCTCAGTGAGAGGCATGAGCACCCAGGACATGGCAATGACTCCATATGGGCTGGCCCATGCACCCCAGTGACTCCTCTGGCAGGAGCCAGCCAATTCCTGTGAATCCATGCATCTCCAATTTAGAGAGAGGCACGGATTTCATGGATGGACTGCTCAGTGGATAAGGAATTGGCTGCGTGGCCACACAAAGACAGTTGTGGTCAACAGCTCAATGTCCAGATGGAGATGGGTAACAGGTGGTGTCCCTCACGGGTAAGTGTTGGGACCAGTCCTGTTCAACATCTTTGCTGATGACAGAGAGTGGTATTGATGCGCCCTTAGCAAGTCTGCCAATGACACCAAGCTGTGTGTTGGGGTCAACACACTGGAGGGAAGGGACGTCATCCAGAGGGACCTAGACAGGCTGGAGAGGTGGGACAGTGCAAACCTCACAAAGCCAAGTGCAAGGTCCTGCACCAGGGTCGGGGCAATCCCAGGCACAAGTATGGGCTGGGCAGAGAGTGAACTGACAACAGCCCTGAAGAGAAGGACTTGGGGGTGTTTGTTGATGAGAAGCTCAGCATGACCCCACAGTGTGCGCTTGCAGCCCAGGGACCAACCATGTGCTGGGTTGCAGCAGAAGGAGCGTAACCACCAGGTCAAAGCACGTGATCCTGTCCCTCTGCTCTGGTCTTATGGGACTCCACCTGCAGTACTGCATCCAGCTCTGGGACCCTCAGAACAAGAGGTATGTGGATCTGCTCAAGTGTGTCTAGAGGAGGCCACAAAGATGATCAGAGGGCTGGGGCACCTCTGCTATGGAGACAGGCTGAGAGAATTGGGCTTGTTCAGCCTGAAGAGAGAAGGCTCAGGGGAGACCTTGGAGCAGCTTCCAGTGCCTAAAGGGAGCCTACAGGAAACCTGGAGAGGGACTTTTTCCAGAGGCCTCTAGTGACAGGGCAAGGGGGAATGGCTTTAAAGTGAAAGAGAGGAGATTTAGGTCTTAGAAAGAAATTCTTCACTATGAGGGTGGTGAGGCCCTGGGACAGGTTACCCAGAAAAGCTGTGGCTGCCCCATACGTGTCAGTATTCAAGGCCAGGTTGGACTGGGCTTGTAGCAATGTGGTCTAGTGGAAGGTGTCTGCCTGTGGCAGGGGAGTTGGAACAAGATGATCTTCAATGCCCTTTCCAACCCAAACCCTTCCACAACTCCATGAACCGTCATTAACACCTCTGCTATAACCCCCGTTTTTCAGAAAACACAGACTGGAAGATTCACTCAGTCTCTCTCAAAGGACCCAAGGCTGTGCCACTGCCATGAAGGCTATCAAACTAGCTGACGTCAAGGCTGGAGATCCCGCCCATTCCCGAAAAGGGTGGCTGAAGGGACCCCCTCCCAGAAACTAACCCGCTGTGGAGGGGGAGGCCCCCGGCGCATCCGCCCCGTCACGCTCCGCAGTACAGCGAGCACACTGCCGCCGCAGTGTCGGTCTCGAGCCTCAGCCAGGAGTGGGGGTGCGCGCCGCGGGACCGGCTCCAGTTACTCAGACATCGATGCTTTTAAACATTTAAATCTTCGGTTAAAACTATGAAGATATGGAGAGCAGAAACAAGAGCAGAGGCAATGGCTACCGCCTTGCTATCAACCGACTCACCTTTCCAAGGTCGGCCCGCTCGCCGTAGGGACGAGTGCCACCAGCGGCACCGTCCCTGCTGAGGCGAATAACGGCGACGACCACGACCTCGGCTCCGGTCCCGTCCGGTCCCGTCCGGTCCCGTCCAGTCCCGCCCCGCCCCGCCCCTCGCCCCGCCTCATCCAGCACCGCCCCATAGCGGCCGTAAGGGCGCCCTTTGACCGCAGCGCTTCTGGCGTACTTCCTGCGCGCCACCGCGTGTTTGCGGCATGGCGGGCGAGGCGCAGTGCCTCAGCTACGCGGGTTGCAACTTCCTGCGGCAGCGCCTGGTGCTGGCCACGCTCAGCGGGCGGCCGATTAAGATTCGCAAGATCCGAGCTAAGGAGGAGGATCCCGGGCTCCGCGGTGAGCGGGGCTCCGGCGGACGCCAGGGGAGAGGTCGGGGGGTGGCTGTGGGCGGCCCTGGCACCTTACTGGCAAGAAACAGCGAGGTGGCGGAGGCTCTGGTGTCTCCTCCGGACGGCCTGCGCACTCGGTGCAGGCCGCGAGTCGCCGGCGCCGTATCACCCTGGGCTGTCCTCGTGGATATCGGGTCTGCGGTTTGGGTGAGGCGCGGGGGATGGAAGACGCGCAGGCGAGGAGTGGGGCGGCCCTCGCCGTGTGTCGAGGGAAGCCGGTGTGCGGCGGAGAGACAGATCTGCGGCGGCGGCCCCGCGGCTGTACGTTCACCCGTGGCCACGCGTCTTCTCTGGCATGGTGCGAGTCCCGCTCGCAGCCCCGGCGCTGGCCCGCTCGCTGTACAGCTGGGCTCTTCACTCGAAAGGTGCAGGCTCTGCTGGCTCTTCAGCCGTCACTTTCAGCTGCATGCCCAGCGTCAAGCTCCACATCCCTCCGTGGGAGCCCAAGTTCCCACAGTTTCAGTGGAGCTGGTTTTATGCTTCATTTTTTATCTGGGGTTTGCCCAAATAGCAGTAAAGGTGAAACACGTGAAGTTCATTTAGTGCTCATTTTTGAAAGTTGCTGACACTGTGGACCCTTTGAGGGAAACGTTGCATAGGGAGTACCCTCTTCTTTCCTACACAGGACCTTTGGCACCCCAAAGCAAATGTGCTCATTAAACTGAAGTAAGGAGACAGTAGAATAGAGGTTGAGGAAGAAATATTATTGTGGTGCTCAGTTATTTTTTGGGCAAGGTACAAAATTAAGAACAGGGGTAGGACCAGCATAGATATTACTCTGCCTCCTGAGGAGGCCTCCATTCATAAATAGGAATTCTTACTGTCAAAACATTCCTGTGTGCTTTCTGTAACATCTGCCATGACCCAAAGTATTTGTTATTACTATGGGATGTTTGATGGTGTTAAAAGTTATAGGGTTTGCCG